GTGACGAGTGTTCCTTGCTCAGAATAAAAAAAAAAAACGAAAGACCGTTGTTCATGACCGGATAACCAATCTGAGGGGTTTATGCGTATTTACATTGTGTATGCCGGAACGCTATTTTATTATCTCGCGTCGTTGAGCTTTTAGGTAAAACAGTTCAGGTCACTCGAAAGCTAACGAAACTCTGACTGATACATTGCCAGCCCAGTTCCGTATATAACATTTAAAACATGCAATTAAAAAAACGGAATGGCGGCTGATTGTATGTTTAATGAATAGAACGACGCCGCCTTGGCAAAGATTACCTCAAGTGTGAAGCTTGGCGAGCCTATTTAAAGAAAACGAAACGTTTCATTGATCGGTGCAAGAAGCTATGATAGTATTGATTATCCTTTAAATGTTTTATAACTATTCCTTAAGTTTAAACCTCCTGTTATGCACTTTGTCAATTGCAGAATACGTAATAATTATTATGTTAACTTTGATTGGCAGGGACCTTCTTCTCGCCTAATGGGCCAAACGCTGCTACGCTACGCTACGCAAACGCTAAAGATTCTGGAGTGTCATATAAAAAGGTATATATTTCATTTACTTATTCTTATTTTATTTTATTTATATACAGGTCAGCAACACAGTATCTCAAAACTGGAGTAAGTAAAACAGTTTGCGTCATATAGGTTACGTAAATCTCATTGGGTTTTTGAGAGCTTTACCAGATACCGTAACTGGGTACAATAGGGCAACAAGCGGCATGATATGTTTATTCCGTATGATTAAGTACATCATCCGTAAAACTAATACATAACATTAATGAATGGTGAACAGTATCTTACATAGGTTCAAGTATCTTATAAGGCGAAATTCTTTTTGCAGTAATATAGTCGTGACATGCAAGACATCATCAGGCAAACATAATAAATACTTCGAGTTATTAAGTACTTTTTACACGGTGTCCTTCAACACGACAGGCACTGCCTTCGAGTCCGCTTCTTAACCTTGACCCTTCAGCGTGTTCCTAAGTTTCGTAGACAAACAAACTACCATTATATTACCACAGAAACCATCAGAATAGCACAAGCAAGCATAACAGTATTTACATACATATCCGCCAATTTTATTAGATGCTTATATAAAATCATAATCTATCAAATATATATATATATATATAGATTAAGTTAGGGCAAGCAGAGGATGAAACGTATTCACATTGGGACCATGAGATGAGAGCACCTCAAGTTTCAAAACTTCACCTTACCCATCAAGAAAGGCAACAACCATTATAGAAAAAAAAAAAAAAAAAAAAAAAAGAAAGAAATTTACGAATTATGATAGTATACAATGGTAAGATAAGACGACACTCAGTCTCTAAATAGGCTGCAAAGCTATTGCCCTAGTTTCGAGCAGAAGCTTAAGGAAAGCGTATCAAGGCCATTTCGTATAACACTTTAGAGATAATAACAATGGTTTGATTGCAGCAGTAGCCTAAAGAAACTACAACGTAGTAAATATTGACAGTTATCGACAGCTATAAAATGAAGGCTCAACATAACATCAAGTATAACAATAGTTGAAAATTATTAAAATACTTTAAATGTTCAATCTGAATAGTTCGATAATTATATCGAAAGATTTTCGACTAGAAAACCACAGTTTTTTTTTTATTTTTAAAGAAAGAAAAAACATATCTAGTTAACTGTTCGATCATACGGTGAAATGTATGCGGTTCTTCTGAATACAGTATGCACCAATTTTTTTTTTTAGAAAATCCTCTTTTTTAGAAAAAATTTTTAGTAGCCTCGTGAACAAAAGCTAATTCGAAGTGTTTAAAGACCGAATTAAAATGGTCATTTTCTAAGGGTTCGAATTCGTAAACGGAGTTTGTAGGTTTTACTTTTACAATAGAGCAGTATTGAGAAGGTCTGAACTTCAGTTAAGAACGACCCTCAGGAACCAGTTTGTGGTAAACCTTTTCTATGGGCAACAAAAGAATCAGCAACTTTGCTATAATAAACATTTTGAATGTGCGTAAACAATTTAATTTAATATCGAAAAATTTCAATTAACATATTTAGTTATTGAACGATTTTTCGGTAGAAATGGTAACGCAGAGCACCATGTTTGCATGCTCCAACAGGTACTTCGCGTAACAGGTACTTTCATTAGTGCCTTTCCGTAAGCATATTAACTAGCGATTCAATAAGTACTGGTTGCGTGAATGTTGTCGTACCTCGTCGAAAGATAAGTTAATAATGTAATAACGAAAGCTAATAACTAAAATAGCAAAAAGAACGCTGCAAACAATAAAAACCTAAAAAAACAATAATCAGTGCAGCGAAATAATTGTTATTATTATTACAACAATAACACTTCGACTGTCAAGACGATAGCAATTTTATTATTATTATTTATTTTTCTCATATTCAGGCGGGATAAAGCAAGGCTCATACGGGCCAATCTAAATTTTACTGCGTTATTCTGTTAATTGAAACAATATGTCACAAGGTAAATATTTGACCAAGGTACGTTTTGAGCGAAGTTAATTATTACAGGAAATGCAAATGTTATAAATAAAACAACAAGATGTATATAAAAGATCTGCTTATGTCTCAATGAGCTAATAGACGATGCCTCCACACTGAGGGCGGGGCATCGCTTGTCTCGTTTAGCCATTATACATGCATATACACAGTAAAGTTCAATAATAAGATGTTTCTATCATATGATAGAAACATCTTTTAAACCAAGTCCAAGAAGTCTGGCTTTTTATAAGATAGCACTGAATTTTACATATCTATATCAGAAATTCATTGAGGAGCTTTTAGAGAAATTTATTGACGAATTATATTTGGGTCCCTCTTCGGTTGCTGTATTCTATTATAACCAACTATGTTTGAGAACTACAAGGGCGCACGTGGGTAAATTGGACCACTATTTTTGTGAACACCCAGGATTTTTTTAAATGATTTCCTTCGCATTGTGGCGCCCTCTGGGGACTAACTACTGCACTACTGCAGACAATGTTTTTGTGTTTAAAATTTCGCTCCATTGCCTGCTTTCTCGCACCGCGCACAAGAAGGCATTGCTTAGGACACTATTTGAAAAAAACTAGCGTGAATTCACACTAACATACGATTAAATTTTATTTTAAGCATACTTGTAACTAGAGATTTCTATAAGCTGCCTTTAGGGAAAGTTGAATTCGAGACATTATCACGTTCGTATTTACCCAGTTTCAAATCAACTATTGATGGACATATTAAGCGTTAACCTGGTTATTTATATTATATCGATTAATCATTCGTCGTTTTTAAGTCTGATCATACGGGTCATCGTCCGGTTGTTGCTGTTTCCTAAGCTATTGTTACCACTCACGTCTAGAATAAAATCGTTAAAAGAAATACGTGCGTCTTTCAAGAACACGTCAACTCTGTCCAAAGCAAATCTTTAACAAGAAAGTTAAACTAACGACCAAATCACGAGCAAAAATGCCTTTGGAGAACAGCATAAATTAGTACATTTACTAACAATTAACAATGGTAGAAAAGCATCGGTAGAGGGAAATGCTGCGATGTCTGATCTTTTCGGTAATTAACGCGAAAAATGCCACATTTAGCCGCACAAGATATAACTAAATATGTCAATGCACAGGTCGATGAGTTTTCGCCGTAGTATCCTGTGTCTATTGTGCAAAGCCAAAATAGATAGCATTATGGTGTAGCATGTTTCGTTTTAGGCATCTTGATCGCGTAGGACGCGACGAGTTGAATATGGCGTGGGATATGAATAGGACAGGCGCTTGCGGCCGATAAAAGAAAGCGCCATAGGAGCGCTTCGGTGGAGAATTATCAACCTGACTTCGTGGCCAACGCAGACGTCTAACGGTGTTGCTGCTGCCCTCTGTGGAGCCAGGAAGAAACATAAAAACAGGCCCGCCATATTTGAGATCAACGGAAGAGGAGATACTCTCTAGTAATAGAGTATCTCCTCCTCCCATGTTCCAGTTTGCTCAAATATCACAGCGCAACTGCTTGGTATCTCAATGTAGCCTATGATGTATCACTGAGTTTGACAATTTCTGAATCTAGATACAGGTGTGTATATACAATAGTGGGTAGTTAGCATGGACAGCAGCATCGAGAAATATCGATGCTGCTTTCAATAACTAGGTCGCTGCTGTGGGTAAAGTTACGTCTATTCTAAACCAAGCAGAGAAACGCAGAAAAACCTATCACAAGACGGATCACAACTGTGTTTTCTAACAATAGAATATGGCAGAGTTGATCATCACTACTATATTCAGCAACTGCAAACAATTCTACCTATAAGTCATTTCTGACTCCTCTTACACGATACCACAAAGTAGAGACAGCCGATGTTTTCAGGAAACACGCGCCTTAGATAAGCCTAAACGTAAATATCAAGACTAGTTGGATCTGTGTCATTTTTTACTTTTTTGCATGCTTATGCCATACACGTTATTTTGAATCATTCAGACATTTTACTGTGGTTGATTTTTAACCTCTGTAAAGAACATTTTTGACTAATGCCGTCTGAAGCACAAACGCTTCCATGAGCATAAGACACCGTGGAACAGTCTGCTGTGAAGTAGCATTATATTGCCTACGAGATTCTCTATATTATCACGTGTGAAGTACAACATTTAGACTCTGCGTACCATACACACATGAAATGGTCTAGGTTCGAAACTGAGCGTAGGCACACTCTGTTCGATTATGAGGGCAGCCACCTGCAGCAGTGCCTAGCGGCAGCATATGACAATTCGTGTAAGGCTAACCCAAACTATAGGCGTACACATGCACCCTGCAACGTCTCCCCAGGTGAGCGAACGTAACGATTCTAAATATCAATAAGTGTGTAAAATAAACGTTTTTACATACAAGGGTGTGTGTGCTAGATGCCGCGGGAGAACCTAGTAATGCTTTCTATTAAACAGTCTAAGAGCTTGAGTGATATAGAGGATATATTTTATGGAAGAGAATATGGAAAATATTTAAGCAGCATTTATTAGTCAAATTTCCATCATTTTAATACAATCTTCGTAACCAATCGCTCACTCAATACGTGCAACATAATCAAAATTGGTTCCTTGAAAATGATTTTTTGTCCATCGGTTATTCTTTATTTGCGCATACTTTGTGGGCGAAGTCACAGTTGAAATCTATTTAGTAGACCGCCGTTTTCGTTGTTGGCGAGCTCATCGTAGCTGCGTTTTGGCATCCTTTGCCTTTTCGGAGGCAGTCCTGAAAATTGGTAATCATAAAAAAATAACGGTTAGGCTAGATTACGATCCCTCTGATTTGGGTGTTCCATATACGACTTTATGTATGTATTTATGTAACAAAAAACGGTACTTCCATACGCATATCCAGCGGCCACTTGTTACCGTTATCTATTTGTCCTACTGTCGCTGGATATCTACGACAAAGTGCATTCGGTACTAATAGGTCACGCCGTAACGTACGCTCGTAAAACGCTACGTGTTTGACTCGAAGGGTAATAGGGTCATCTATGCATCATTAAGAAAAACACGTTCAATAAGCACTATCCACATTAAGTTAAAGTTGACACGTGGACAAGGTTATTTAAAGGGTATGGTAAGGAATGGAGTCATTGATTAAGTGTCTAGGCGATACTGTAAATGCAATTATTCGAAGGGCACTAAAATTTAGGAAATTACGTGTCGACCTGGGACAAGTCATCTGGCAATTTCCCGCCCACGTTTTCGATTGGGCGCATGACTTACGCACAGCTATTTCCGTTCCTAGCTTAAAACTTTAAATTTTTTTTCTGATCCTGTATTCAAGTGCATTTATTTCAAGTGTTTGCATGATTTTCGGTTACAATCACACGCTATAGTGTTGAAGCTTTCACGGACCCTGGTTGCGGTCGATATGGTTTGGCGCTTTAGCTTTTTTTTGTAACGCTGCGTTAGAGTCATGAGTGTAAACCCTCGCATCTCATTCATAGGCATACCTTCATAGTAAAAAAAATCTGACTAAATTTGATCTTTGGCCATTCCAATCAGTGTCTGAGCAAACTCATGTGTTATAAATAATCAGTAAGAGTTAAGCGTCTCGTAACTGTCGGTCCTTAAAAAAACAATGACTTCACAAACAAAATCGACGTTTTGTCCTACTAAGCGACGTCTGCGTCGTTATTCAAGTAGCACACTACTTTAATGACATTTATGCACATATGCATTCAAACTTACCATGAATTTATCCGAGGTACATTCTGCCCACTTGAACTGGCACTCAGAGAGGGTTGAAGCCTTAACTGTCAGCAAGAAAAGGAAACTTCCATATTATATATAGTGTCATAGAGCAAGTTACATTGTCGATCATCTGGTAATATGCCAATTTTATCTAATGCGTGTAGTCGTTTACGAATAAGGAAAGACCTTGGTCAACTGCACTTCACACGTGGGGCAAAAGTTTTTATCGATCTGAGCCGTTGCAATAAAGGGAAGCGTAAGGCACTACCCCATAGTACATTCACATACAGTTGAACTAATATATTCCGACAATTAACAATGGACGATACGATGTCCCAATTCCACAAACCGCAGCTTTTTCGGGCGGGCGCGTCACGTAAGTCTGCCATCACAAGTTTAGCTCACGTACCCTAGAGAAAATTAGCGTTAGTTACACAGGAAGTTAGTGTATGCTCACCTGTAAAATATGACTGAAGTTCATCCCGACGTATGAAGACGTGAGCGCAGTCGTAGAATACACTTATCTGACAAGCCTGGATTGTGGCAGATCGATATTCAGTTAAGTGACTTTGCGATGCGTTATTTTTTGCTGTTAGGTTTTGTTGGATTTCTCGTATAGATGCCCTCACACTGTCGTGTATTGTATTGAAGTCGAGGGGATGTTCGTTCACGTTCCAATCCTGTTTTAGAAATCGTTATCGCTACTTATGTTTGTATCTGTGGTCATAGATAGGCAAGAAATGTTTTGCTCGATATGTTATTAATAGATTGTTATTATATCATTAACTTACTGTTATTTAATTAGTCCAATCATTTATCTCAGCCGCGATCGCAAAAATCTGCCACTGCGTAGGTTGTTATAGCGAAACAGGGCTGTCACATTAAATTTTTTCATTACACACAGGATCACGTACTGCCGTTAGTACAATTAAATTTACAAATAAATATGTCTATCAGTCAACGGCCAGACACGGAATTAGTCGAAAAGAGTGGCGAGGAGGAAATAATTCAGATTATTTAGACTGAAGTTTCCTTCTCAACGTACCCTTCCAGTTATCCTTAAGGAATCAGGAATTCAATAGAACGACATCTTCATTTAGATATTCATATATATATATATATATATATATATTCAAATGAATGAATTCACAAATTATGTATGACATATTTACAAGTTCCCATTGGGCACCGCGTTGAGTCAATTTTTTTTTTATCTTGGCCGCAAATTATTGCTAGCGGGTCTGCACGGTGCTGTGGCACAGCACGTGATGTATAACAGCATAATAACTGGCATTTTCTACCTCTTTATGGAAATAGAAATAGATCTGTCAGCTCATAGTGCTACCTTGCCGTATGCTACTTACATAGATGTAATCTATCAACTATTATAGGTTCTGTTCGCTTTCTGCGTTTCCTGAATCCGGTTCAATTCCGAACAATCGAGGAGCATGGACAGATGTCAGTACATGGCCCTTTGGTCTATTTTATTGACGCCGCTTATACTATTCGACTGACTCATATTTGACGTCAGAAAAAAGGACGTTTAGGTTTGATTAACCTAAACAAAGGAAGCTTGTGTGGCATAAAAAATGCCGTTAATATACCCGGCCTATAAACGTTTCTATATTTTATATAAATCAAACAGGTGCCCTCTTTCAGTCAGCTTGATAATTAGAGCTCTGAAATGACCTAAATATAGGGTACTCGTAGTACACCTAGTACGATACTCGGTGGTTCGTTTACCCATAGACATGCACCGCAGCAAACATGCCTGCCATCGCTAAGTACTATAGTGCTTGTCTTGCCTTCTGTCCAAAAGGTATTTGTGTAAAGCCTATCTGTTCTACGGTATGTCATTTTGTCCATCGAACTCAACATGATTCTCACATTAATTATCCTTTCCAGCTAAATTTTTTCCAAATACTTAGAAATTTGTTTCGGTTTTGGATTGCTATTTTGGTGTAAGCATAGATATCGCGAATAAATTCAACCAGCTCAGCTAAAAACAACATTCAAAGATCACGGTGACAATAATTTGTTCGATTTTGTTTAGATGAATGTTTTTCAGACACCGGCTATGCTAAGAAGCATCTCTATCTGATGGTAACTGTTTTTCGCGTTGGCCTTGAAAACGTCGGCTCCTTAAAAGACTGCTTCAAACTAAGACAAGGTCAAACTCAAGCCTAATAGGCAATGAATGTTTTTCTGCATTATATAATAGCTGAACTCAGTATTTTCACCATAGAATCCCTTGTTCTACTCGCATCTATGGTCGCTGGCTGTACGTTTCATTCTTCGTGTCGATCGCAAACGATTCGTGCTTGTATCACGAATGACGACAAACAATATCAGGCCTGAACGGTACACAATTCAAGTTTCTCTATCTATCTATCTATCTATCTCTATCTTTCTATCTCGATAAAAAAAAAACATTCACTTCTACTGTCTGTTTAGAGGCCATCATTTTTCAACTCGCAGAAAATGCCTATATACGATTAAAAAACATGCCAGTTATAGGTTGAATGGGCGCCACTATTGGCTGTGGTAGGTAGGTAGGTAGGTAGGTAGGTAGGTAGGTAGGTAGGTAGGTAGGTCTTCACAATAAGCAATCATACTACCTCGCCACTTCTACTTTTGCTCGGTCTGGTTTTTCCCGTCACGGTGGAACTGGGATCCTCACGTCCTACACTTTCCAATCTGGCTTTCGTCACAGCTGCCGATGCAAACTTAATAGTCAACAGTAGTAATAAACTGGTTAGGAGGAGAAGTGCAGAGCTATTCAGGAACGACTTCATCGTGAGACCGTTGAGGAGACACTAGCACATTAGACGTTGTTAAAAGATCGAGCGGTTTCTCTTTTTGTGGACCACCTTCGCTTTCGGCACAGATTTTATAGCAACATCGTATCGTGATTATAGCTACCGTGTGCCCGCTGTGTCTGGCCGATTTCGAAGTAACGACAAGTTCGTTGTCAGTCGGTCATTTAGGCTGACGTAATGGTAGGTCTGTGTGCGCCCGGTTATCGAGTGGACTACAATGAAACGTAAAAAATACATGAGCATGGCCGTTTTAATAATCTGTTCTCGAATGATTTCATCGCTATTTGCAACGAATCTAAATGAAATCCATATTAAAATTCCATATTGCTCTAGTATTAAGGCTAATCTGCTTGATATGATAACAAGCTGTTGATGAAGATAGCATTGTGTAGGAGTGCTTAATTTTCCCGCTCTATTTTTATAATTTTAGCTAGCAGCCGCTTTTCTGTCCTCTCCGAGTGATTATCAACACCTGTCTCAGCAAGAGGGCGTTCTAAAGCTATAACAGGTTAGTACAAAACACAGCGGGGCAATTTCCGATGTCGATAGAGTGCCTGCTAATCTGACAGATGATATAAAGTTTAATCTAAACTCTATGATATATGAGTCATAGCCAACTAAATGGGAAATAGAGAAGTTTGTATCCATTGGTACTGTATTAAATGATGTAAAAGGATTTTTCTATGAACACAATTTCATTAGTGCCGTATTTTTATTGGTTTTATTTTTCACGAATTAATAATAATCGTAAATGAAGACAATTATAAGATATTGACAGTTTGTTGTATATTAAATATATAGTATATTAAATTCACTAGTATAAGTGAAGTATGTTTAAATTAAAACTAAAAGGTTTTACAAAGAGTATGAACAATGAGCATGGCGGCCTTGGAGTTCAAGTATTTTTTGTAAGCTAAGGCTAAGCTACCTGTTTCGTAAATTGAGAAAATAATTATTTAAATAAAATTCACGTCTACTATTAATAGTACTATTAATTAACCAACTGCTATTAATAACATGTTCATATGATTTTCAGCGTTCATTTAGGTTTTGCTAGACAAGACGATTTTTTACTGTCGTGTGATAATTCGACTTTGGGCCAGTGAGAAGTAGCCACCCTTTATCACATATAGTACTTGCTGGAAACCTCACTCTGCTCAGACACACACGTTTCTGAGGAATGATGAGCTTGTTGTCAAAGGTCAGACGGCGTCTAGATGTAATTTTGTTGGAGGCTTCAACAAAACGATGCAATACTGGAAAATTTCGATGTTGTTGAGGCTACTAGTTGACCGGAATACTACGTTACAGAAACATCGTTTTCCATTAGAAGCGATAGTTAACCTTCTGTCTTACGCAAAAGTTTACCCGCTGCTTCTACAAGCCCCTTAATAATTAAGACTTAATTATTTTATCAAAAGTATTCAGGGTAATTAGAACTTATCTATCTTCAGTACAGTAAAGTTTTACTTAAATTTCGTGATGCTTCGTGCCGTGATGAATAAAAAATTTGTTACCAACATCCCACAAGTCGTATCCACTGTGCGCGGCTTTCGATTAGCTAAGCCAATAGAGAAAAATACACTCGGTCCGTTCGTGTCCAATCGCATAGCCGATTCCTGTAAAAGAACATGAACTAACAGCGTGTCACAGGCATAGCACGACGTATTCATGAAATAAAACAATATTCCAAATAATAAACCAATAGTTTCTCGAGTTAAAAACTCTGTGCGAAAAAGAAATCAACTACACTTGGTTAGTTTTAAAAAAAAAATATATATATATATACATATATATATATATATATAGGGCAACACCGATGGATTATTTAAGGTGGTTCCCGTAAGGGTTTAAAAGGACTTCAAAGATTACGTTTCATAGTGTCCTGCTCTCGCATCGAAATGTCGAAGAGTTTAAAATAGCAAAAGTTCGCTTCTAGTTCTAAATATTTAAAACGCAACGCTATTTGGTCAATTTCCTGGCAATTGTTTTTCTGTTACTCAATTTAATCAGTTGTTGTTTACCGTTGAGCGGTTGTAAAGGCCTACATATCGTTACGTGTCTGCTCGTTCTTCCATATGAATTCTACACAGGAACAGTGGCTTGGCTGAGCCTTGACGCGGTAAGTAAACAACGCTATAGTAAGCCTAGATTAGATGCCTGCTGGAGCCGTAGTCGTTCTGATATGGCCTGATAATTTTAGCCACGTAGCCCCGTCATGCGGGGCAGTTGTTAAAATGAACTCGTGTACATTTTTCTCTATCGCTAGTGAAAGCATAAAAATTTCATTTTCCTGTGAAAAAAAAACTTTGCCAGCCAGAGCCTTGAGATAATTTCAAATTAGATCAGAAAATTTCGTCTAGAAATTAATCTTAGGAAAAAAAATCCCTTCGAAACATTAGTTCTTTCGGTATATCAGCTTTAGAGTGAATTAGGCAAGTAGGTATTTCTTCTACTTATCAACTTTTTACTAGAGAGATAATTAATGAAAGCTGCTAACTTTCAACAGCTAACATTCCAGAGGGTGTTGATGCTTTGATTGTGTTGAAAGTATACATTAACTTCCGTAAGTTTCCCCCATTCACAGGTGAATCCACCTACGCACTTCGAGTTTAATTTTGAAAAAACTACTACTACTACATACTAGGAAAATAAAGCTATCAGCTGACGGCCAACGACAATGAACAAAGATTGCTGTACATGAGTTCAGATTGGTTTGGCATTTGTAGCCTCAAGGCAGTGAGATGCAATTCACATTGGGGGATGTAAAGCGATTGAATTCAATACTTTTCGGTGCACTGCATTCTTACCGTACGCTTTTACGTGAGAAACAGTTAGATCTAGTGGTCATAAAATAGCTAAAAATGTCAAACAGAGCTAAACTAATAATACGCGAATGGAGAAACCAAGTAAGTCCAGTCACCGGTCAAGATTCTGCGATTTTTTTTCAGTTACCAAATAAGTTCTTATATACCGCATAGACATATATTCGGCAACTGGTTTGAGTTCGAACCCTTCAACTTTAGCCGAAGAAAAACTAAAACGGTTCCTTTATAAACATGCGATCCTTGAAGTACACATAGCCGCATGCGTCAACAAAATAGGGGTCTTAGTTAGAAAACAGCACGCATGTTGTCTATACGAGTAATGAATTAATAGTACACCTTTTATTACAGGCTAAAATTATCCTCTGTAATAGGAAAAGTAGTTTCTTTATTAATCGTGCCTTGCACTTTGGAGAACTTAATGGGAACCTCCATGCGCTATGAAGACCCTGTAATAGTCTGAGGTTCTATCTCTGATTTCGTGGGAACATCGGTGACGTTCTCATCTGGTCCAGTGAATTCGGAGCTAATTTTCGTAGGTGTTATTACCAACTGACCTAGTTATGCCTAACTTCGTTACTCTTTAGGTGATCCTGGATTGAGAGCACGCTTGACTTACGCATCTACATATCCTTTGAGTTGTACCAAGAAACCAATCGTGCTGCAAGTGCTCACCAAAATTGTATCAGCGCTGTGAAACAAATGGTAACTCATATGCATAGTACAGGTAACTTGCCATGTTATACATTGAGTGTCCTATTTGGGTATAAAGTACACTTCAAAAGAATAATAGATTTAATATTAAAAAAGATTGTTGACATTCTACAAAATAAGCTATACGATGCTGTTATAGATTTAGATTAGTGCAACTCAAAAAGAGGGTGGGTTCCAGAAGCTAACGGCCATTGCGTTGTCGTGTTGACCACGCGGGTTTTGAAATTTTCACCAGTAACTATATCTTTGTGCTTTTTTTTTTATGTAAGGATATTTCGAGCTAACATTTGGCTTCTAGGTAGTACTATACATGAAAATCGTTACTTTAGCTCAAAATTTATCAATGTGAGTTAGCCACTTGCACAGTCGTATTGGACCTTTCGCACGCTCCTATACCAAAAAACGGTACAAAAAAATGAAAACGAACGAAATCAGTCGTCACGAACCCCTCTGCGAGCGTAAGTAAAATCGCCGCTACAAGAGGAAATAACACGGTGTTGTTGGACGAGTCCCTAAAAAATAATTGATTCATCTGATAGATTTTCGATAATCTCAAGAACGGCGCCATTTTTTGAACAGCGATAGAAGAGTTTTGAAAAACCCTCATGCCGCCCGTACCGATATGAATAGAAATCATTTGCATGCGGGACACTCAGTGTCAATTCATGGCAAAAAATGGCTCACAACGAGACGATAATTTAAATATAGCTAAGAAAAAGTGTTCTAATAGTTACTCACATCCGTTCGTAATATACTCGCTCTAATAAAAGTAATCGCCGAACGTGCTAATAAACAAAAATAAGTTGTCACAACTTTCGAAAAACGTCAGATGTTCTTCAGAAAAAAAAGTCATTAGAAATGCTCGTTGGAAAAGTTCGATCAACGTACTTTACTTCTGATGTAGTTACGGTAACTTCAAGGGTAGTTAGACAAATTTAGCGCTTCAAAAGCGTGTAGCTGCCAACGCAGAATTAGGCGTATGAGAGCCTGGCCAGTCAGCCTTGTGCAACTATAAACTATCAGATGGAACGTTCTATTTATGCACGACACTGTCCGACTAAAGCGACTTTCCATATAAATTACTTACGCCAACAGCTTTCCTATCGCAATGGCACTTTCGTGCTCGGATGGCCACACCCTTTGACTATCATGTGCCAATCAGCGGGAAACTCAACATCTAGTTATCGCTCATAATGTCCTTTAGCAAATAGCAGGTACGGTCTCGTTGCCGAGCTGGTTGAGTTCGAATAGATTTTAATTGAATTGGCTACAAATTGAAATAGTCGTTGAAACTGTTTAGTAGACAATGTGTGATAACCTATCATCTCCAAGATAATGCATCGGCGTCCTCAGCCCTCCTCAACCTCCCGTCCTCAGCGTACCCGAGTGCATAAAAAAGGTCCGAACAGGCCGGAAAAAAGGGCTGACGGATCTGTTGCGCCTGACAGTTTATATGAAAAACGAACGGAGTATCAACAGAAAATATCTGCCTCTTTTCTGGTCATATATTTTCACGAACGACTACTAGATATTTCCATTACAGACGGACTTGTACCGCCTTCAACTAATAACTAGTTCCTTGAAACTACCAAATACCCGCCAGGTAATAAAATGAAACTGGTTTTTTCGGGTACGAGCATCGGATTCAGCTTTCTGTGACGACACTTTTAACCACTTCTAATATTACACTAAGATTTTAATAATGCGGTCAACGGGACAACACAGAAAACAAGTTACATATGTCTAGATAGATTAAATAACATCGTACCTTATTTATTCATAGGCACAGGACACTTGTTATAAACTAAACCTTGTCGAAACGTTGTAAAAATGTAATTAAATTTCAACAACGTATTGAAATTGAACGCCATCATAATAGTCCCTTGATACTCAATAAGAAAACAACTCTCGAATGAGAAAGCAGAACCTGAACATAATGACAGCTGGATTATGAATATCTTGATTCTAATAGGAACGTTGACAAAACAGTGGTACGTTCAACACTACTTTTGTAAACAAATATAATTATGCTATTCTGTCAAATGGAGCAGCGCCTATTAGTTTCTCTAAGTGGGCGAACTTTCTGTAGAAGCGCCATTCCCGTCGTAAGTTGAGAATTTAATACTCGATACAATCATAGCAACCGCAGTATCACTGATTATTGTTTCGCTAATGTCGAAATATAGGCATGAAGAAAGGCTTGTTCTGAAGAAGCTACACAAACATAATATCAGAGATACAGTGGCCAGAGCATGCGACCCTATATTTAGTTGCAAATGAATCCGACCGGATCGTTTCTAGTAGTAATTAGAGTTTCATTACGTAATACTTCTGCATCGTTGGACATCCCGGAACTCACGAGTCAATCAGTAAATTGGAGTAAGTAAAAAGTGGTCTGTCCATTGCATACTAGTAAATCGTAAGAATACCACTGCCTGACAACTTGCCATGTCTGCACAGGACGAAATCGCTAATAGTATTCTTCAGACAGTCCTCAGAATCGTCCCCGTTGACTGCAATGAAACTTCAAATGTTATCAGAGCCAATTCTTACTGCGAATTTTCTCATAAACAGAGTCATGCTAACTTGTCCGTTGGAATAATAATTTATTTTGCAGTTGCTGTCATATCGCTAATAGTGTCGTCACTTGCGTGATCAGACATACGCTTTACCGAGCGTGGGGAGCGACAGGGGGTAATCGGTGTAAGTGGCGCCTAACCAGACGGTATCGTCGGGGAAATGACTGTTACGACGAAAACATTCATTGCAAGGCGAAAATGATTAAAAATTTGAAAAAAATAAATAAAAACAGAAACATATACTTAATGACTTCCTCAGTGTTTGATAAAATTCACTGAAGTAAATGCAGAATAATTAACTTGGAGTGTGGATCCTCGAACCTCCTCGCAATCGGCAAGAATATACAGCCACTCAAGGTTCCACGGTAAATAACACCGACGGATTAGGGACTACACATAATCATCTCATACCTTTAACTTGTTGTCCATCAACTGAACCTGCAACTTTATGAAGCCAAATAGTTTCCTCTTGAAACATTCGTAAGTGTTTTATTAAATTAATTGAAGCAAAGCATGTAATCTCTATACAGTTTATACGAAAAGCCGATGAGGTGCGATGTCTGAGCCGTGTCTAGGACATATGTTTATATACATACGCAATATATATTGTTGTCCCAAATATATTTTACATAGACAGGTAAATTCTTTTTACTAATGACCTATCGACTTCGACCCTCGAGTGGAATAGATAATTGAAGCAAATGAGGCTTCACACTGCACGTTTTGCGGGGAACAAATGTTACAAATGGTTTTTTATCCTATACAGAAGTTGAACTTAAACCTGCGAAATGATTGTTAATAGTAAATGCTCCGATGATTCCATAAAAATAAATGTTAAATTGTTTGGTAATTTGCAACCGTCTTACAGGAATTAACCAGGAGCAAGTGGTTTGGTCATTATGGAAATATCGGTGCAAGGAAAGGTCCCTTTTAGAATAAAACTACGAATAGATTTAATCTGTTATTGTTTGTCGGTTCAGCAAAGGACGAGACCCAACAAAATTAGAAGCTTCTTCGATCTACGGTAGTAGATGGAATATCAGCATTCAGCATTATATTGAAGGGGCTCGAGAGTTTAGCGAAAAGGCGTAAGAAGTTTTTGCTAGTACCGAAGTGCCTATGTAAGATTTAGAGGCGATTGAGCACTGAAGTATCGAATGATGTTGACGCATACATGCTCGGTGGCAAGGATAATATACCCTATTTTTCAGGCAAACCACATGTACCACTAACATCAGCTGTATATACGTGACTTCACTTTTGCCCTATCCTGTCCAATCCGACAAAAATCAATTATTGACGAAGCTTCTTATAGGCATCCCTACATTACGCATACCCAGATGACACTGTAGTTTGCGAGCAGTAAATCCTCTACAGAGGAATAGAATATGATCGCATGAAAGGTAATCAACCATGAGTATATGCTAGTACAGGCGACGCCTTTCTAAAGCCAAATTACACTCTTGAATTCAACGCTAAAACAAGATAGTACTTAACGTTGTTGCGACGTAAAATGCTGAGTGAGGTTCATATTGCAGCTTTGGGTCTGAACGGCACAGTCTTCCTCGTGTTTCTCCATATGTTAGTTACTCTCGAAAAGCTGACCAGGGACTCCCGCCACTTTCAGCGTCGATCCATCAGCGTCAAACCAACAAGACAACGTTGTAGTTACCGTTGTAGGCTTGGGCCCTATATAAAATACAACACCTTAGTAAAATTGTTCTTGTATATGTATAGGAATATGTGCGCTAGAGTGAGTGCCGTTCTCGCTGATGCTGACGCAGTCTTGCCGTACATTACTTCCAGTTCGCCTCTACTCTCTTTCAGCCACTGACTAATATCGACTGGAGAAGCTTTGCATTTAATACGCAGGTCAGTCCATTCGGGGCATTCGACCTAAAGACTTGTCTTCGCAGTGTATCTGCCTTTCCATTCTGACCCATTTTTCGGCCAGCCGCGGTTAACACCTTACTCGACGATCTATTACCAAGATCCCAGGACCGGCAGCAGCTGAGGCGCCAGCTAACGAATCTTATCAAGCATCGAGAAGGGGCTGGTCCTCTGACTGGGCGTATTACCCACCTGGTGGGAGAAGGACACAATGAATCTCCCAGGGGGCTCATCGTAATGCATACATCAACCAGGTGTCCACCTCTTTCCTAAAGTGGTGTGGCCAATGGGAGGGGGTGAAATATAGCTCTGAGTGAAGACGACGCAGAGGTAGTATGTATTCTACGGGCATGTACTTGTCATTAATATTTGTTTGCTTAGAATGTTGTTGAATAGAGCATACTGAGTCTATTGATTTCTTGTGTTTCTTCTTGTTAATATTCTCATTAAGGATGCTTTGATAAAATTAGATTATTTAATGCGGATTAAAGGGGATTTTTTTTCTCTTTCTCTATAAATCTGGAAGCCGTTTTACTCAAGGAAAGATTTCGCAGAGATTACCCTCTTTGTAACGCATTCATTCCATTATCTACTATCGTTTCTTGTTGTTCGATCGGTTCACCATAAGAGCCAAATAAAGTGGATCATAGATAGATATACTTACCCTGCGCAAATGAGTATGTTTACGTACACATCCTGATAAAAGTGCAGATAAAAAGCACAAAAAAGGCAGGATCTAAATTGGAGTTTCCGATAATAACTCACTACACCACTTTAACAAACTGGAAAAGATATGGCGATTTCAGCTGGACGATAGTTTCAGACTTTCAGTAAACCCTTTCAGTATAGTTACATTAAGGTAACTTTGTGCTTGCGCACAGGCGTTTCGCAAGAACATGGATCACTTGAACTTAATTGTTATAGACGATCTAAAAGATGATTGATGTTAATCGTCCTTTATTTCGGCCCACTTCGATTTCATTTATGCATAGTGAATTTATTGATTAATTTACACACACTTGACTTTATTTAACTAGTATTTATTAGCCAACGCAACACTGATGTCCATGCAGCCTTCCGACTGAACAATGTTTTAAAGAGATATTGTAATTCCTAAATGTGTTTATGTGCAAACAATAAACTTTGCTATAACTAAATTCAGTTAGTAATGTAGATCGATTATATATAAGAGATCGATTTTGGTTAACCCCATATGTATGTATGTATATATTGGTATGGCGCTCACTGATAACATATAAAGCCCTAGGTATTTCCGTCGCTCTCGCTATATAAAGGCATAATGTAGATGTAGAGTAAATCAATCGCATGTATGGGAGTAATAGTACGACGTCGTGACATCAATGACAGCGAGAGGAAGGCAAATCGCCGTGGCCTAGAGATTAATCAAACCAAGAAAGGCCGAACGAAGCTGCAACTGGTTATGAAATTCCCGCCGGTCGTTTGAGTCCGCCATGGGCAACAGGGCGACCTATGTGCGGGTTCGCAAAAAAACCTATACGTGTTTACGGAGAAGAGGCGGCTTCTGCAGGACCGAGTCTGATTGCCGTTTGCATCCTGAGCATTTCTGCGACACATCAAATAATCGTACCTGCATGGCGAATTCCTGCGTGAGGCGAACGGTTACAATGTGCCGAGTCGCTTCGAGGCTAAGGATTTCAGCGTTAGCATCCAGGTCCCGTGCTTTCGCATGGCGCCGAATAAAGGCTCTATGTCCGATGCGAAGCTTTCGGCCATGCTCAAAGCGGGATGACAGATTTGAGGAGAATTGAGAACGAGCGAACCATCGTCCTGTTACTATGGCAGCACAAATGCACGTGTATACTAGATACTCAAGCGCTTTCACATTGGACTCTGTATATCCACAAAATAGGAAAATATTAATGGCTCGGTGTTAAGGCGGCCTAAGTTCAAAATAAGGCCTGATATCTTTGCCAATCAAAAGTATTTAAAAATATCAAGGCGATCGTTTGTAGCGAACGCGGAAATGCCTATGCTTTAGCATCAATAGATGTGATTTGTTTGGTTCAGCTTATTAGGAGTGTTGAGTGCTACGGGTATTTCCATCGCTGTTGATAAAACTACGGACGATGAAACTTGCATATTTCGAACTCTGAAGGACCCCCTTAACGGTGATAATCGAGTTCCATGATAGAAGATTTCTGTTCTACGGCAAATATTGCAAGTTCTCTTAATTTTCGCCAGGTAGATGAAGGCAGATACGTGCAAGTCTCATAACTGACGGTTAATCCACCAAATACATACCCTTCAGTGTTCGCTAATCCGTTATATATATGCGTGCGTGTATATGTATGTGTATAGTTTTACACCTTTGTTTTTGCGTTTGTTGTATGATTGTAGTGTGTGTGGTGGATTGATATTGGTTGAAAAGTGGATCGAGTAATTGATTGTCGCCCATACATTTTTTTTTTTTTTGTACAACAACACTCGAATGGCTGAGCTGTTTGCGTCTGGATGTTAGGTTTCCTGGCGGAATCCGAACTGGCCAATGTTGGTCTTGCTAAACAGCATTTTCCATTGCGTGTCGACCGCTACGTTGCGTCGTCTTCACATCGAAATCTTCAAAACGACAAAGCGACGACAGTGTTAAGGCTATTCCCTCTGACCATATGTCCTGTCTATAAACCAGAACAAATGTGTGTGTAGGCCTCAACGTAATTCGTTCTTATCGTAATAAAGTTGTGAAACAAAGCGAGGCGCTCAATCTTGTTTGCGTAAACCGATTTGAACAATTTCAGCACATCTATTACTGCCGAATCAGCTTTCAAATAACGCCGATACCGATTGGCCTCGACCCGTATTATCTCAGACACGTAACGTACCTAGAGCTAGAAAAATAGCTTTGATATCTAATATATATGTATATATATTCGACGTAGTCTGATGAATTGCTGAAGATCAAAGACTTAGTTCAATTTCATAATTAATACATTCGAAAACGCATTTCCGTGTTAATGTTTGAACCGACTCCTGGTAAGTAGCGTAGTGAAACAGGGCTACAAAGGCCACAGACGCGTTTCGATTACGCACTAAATTTGTGTTTGCCAAAAGAATATACACTTCGTACAATCCGTAAGCTGCAGACGACGGAAAAAAGGTTCGAAGTAGAAATTGCGAATTTTATGGAGATTCTTGTCTTTTTTTTTCAACTGGGTCAGGCCACTAAGAAATGGGCGACGGAGATGCATGCTGCTGCGACTGTAGTTTTGTCCAGGATCGCTGTGAAAAGCTGCTATGACCTTATGTATTTGTGGCTTCTATGCAGTTGGTATGCCGGACGTAGAA